AGAGGATATGGGGAGAGGGGAAGGGGAAGGGCTATATAAAAGGATATGGGACTATTATTTATACCAAAATAACAAATCAACTTTGAGACCAGAATAGCACTCTTTTCTTTTTCTGCAACCAGATTAATATATGAATTTTGTAACCAGAATAGTATTTTTTTATTTTTGCGATTAGAATAATATATAAATTATTTGAGACCAGAATAGCATTATTTTATTTTTTTGAGATCAGATTAACACATTATTTAAAAACAACTGAAATAACACTTTTTGAAAAAAAAAATCGACTGAATTAACACAATGTGTTAATTCAGGTCTAATTAGAAAGTTTATATGCTATTTCTGGTATCAAAGTTGAAAATGATGCTATTCCAGGTATTTACCGTTATATAAACACTAGGACTCTTGCCTTTGAAGTCTCAATATCCTTCTTTCTTCTTCCCCCCTCCATCTTTCTTTGCCGGGTCGAAGTTCGCTTTCACCAGCGACAGACTCCGTGGAACCCTCTTGTTATCCGGTCTATTATACGTCACTCCTCAGCAGTATTGTGGGAGGCATACTCACGTTATCTGCCTGCGTCCCTGCGAATCGTTGAATAGACGCGATTCGCAGGGACTCAGAGCAAACAACATAAGTGTGCCCCCGCGACCAAATAGTGGGCGAATGTCAATGGCTCACAACGCTCCTATGGCTTGTTCTGGAGACCGCCCAATATTGAAGTTTTGGGGTTGCTTCTGTATCATCGTTTCTTCGGAACTGGTAGTGGTCACAGTGGTACTGCTATTACAAGGTATGTTATTTGCTATCTCTTCTTATTAAGCACTCACTGATATGACAGCTATCGCCGGCTATTCAGCGAACTCCAGAATGCTTCAACTTCTTTCGGCTCTATCACCGATACTTGTATGTAATGCGTTATTTCCTCCTACCAGCATCTTCTAACAGCCATAGCTTTACGACTCCCAATATTCTCCATCTCTTAGTCAACTTCTCTTCCCGATCACTTCCTTTGTATGTTACACCCTTTTCGTTCTATCACGCTACCCATAGAACTCGCAACAACTAGCACATCCCTCTACAGCACTTATCTCGCGGAGATTCACAAGTTAAGAAGAATCAACTCAACGGAAAGAAAATTCCTTGGCTCGCATCACCTGTACAAACCCAATTCTTCGATATACACGACAACACCCCTCGACGCCGATAAGAGGCACATGAAGAATTGGTAGTATCAGACACGAGGAGTTGAGGAGAGATCTTGGAAGACAGTGATGGTAATGGAGCTTAAGTCCACTACCCTACTTTTCGGCCACCCCCCCTTTTGGGCCACTTTTTACACCAAAAACAGTGATTTTTGACTTTTATAACTTTTCTAATAATGAATATAATTAAATCAAATTTTAACTATAGGTTCTATATATAGTTATTAGCTCAGTTACAGATTTTTAGAATTTTAGCGATTTTCTATAAAAAGTTATTAAGATTTAAAATTCGAATTTTATTTTATATACAATTTGTATACAAATTAAAATATTCAATAACCTTTTATTATAAGTTATTAAAAATAATCTATTAATCTTTCAAAATATTTGATATTCAAAAACTTTAAAACAAACTTTTTATTTTGAATTATTTTATATATTTAAGCTTTTATTAAAAATAATCGTTTTTTTATAAAAATATTTTAGTGAAAATATCAAATATTTTGAAT